TGTGTGTGTGTGTGTGTGTGTGTGTGTGTGTGTGTTTGTGTGCTATTTACACCCAGCTGGCCTAGCTACACTCTCCATTGTAGCGAATCAGGTCAGACAGGACCGATACTGTTACTGTACTGAGCTTTGAAGCAAATTCACAGGCAGCGCTGGTGATCCGGTCTGAACACCACACAGTAGAGCCTGTCTGTGTGACTCCTTACTTTGGCTTTTTACTTTAGCCCTAGCATTATTGTTCCATCAGTGATGTGCTAGCCTTGATTTTTTGTATAATTTTAGTTTTATTAATATACGTCTATTGTATTATATATTTGTGTCATACTTGTTCAGTTGTGGTGTTGTAACACTGTGATGATGAGATGTTATGTTAGCTTCCATATTCGTTAACTGGTGATAGAGCTAAGAAAGAAGAGATGAGATAAAAACATATTTTAGGGGATTATAATAATGATATACAGTATGTAATCTATTATGGCGACACTTCAAACGTTTCCCAACCCTAGTCGTCGGGTACCCCCAAAGGTTTCATTGTAGCCCTTGACAAAGACACCTCATTCAACTCATTGAGGGCATGATGATTAGTTGACAAGTTGAATCAGGTGTGCTTGTCCAGGGTTACAATAAAAATATGTACTGTTTGGGGGTACTCGAGGTCCAGGGTTGGGAAACACTGCTCTAGGGGGTAACATTGCACTCTACTAGTGGATCCTTTTGATTGGATACATCCATGGTGGCTCCGCCCTATACACAGATATTGTGAGCCAGTCCATCACCCCCTTCAGTGACACAGCCCAGCTCACCTGAGGATTCTCATATAGCCATAACAATCACCTGTACTATCAGGGTCAGAGCCCCATAACACCACAAAAAACTTTCACAAGAATCGATTCAGCACACATTCATAAGTAAGTACTTTTTTCTTCTAAATTCTTTATTTCCCAGATGTTTTAAAATATAATATGACTATTTATATTGAATCGATTACTGTTATATCACCTGAAATTGACAGTTAACAGGCTTTTAAGTGTTTGGTAAGCATGTTTTTCTTTGAAGTTCTTCAGTTCGCATTGGGGAGGCGAGTATAATGACATAGGATGAGACCCAGATGCAGACACAGGAGGCAGATGGTTTGAGTCTCTCTCAGGCAAGAGGCAGGTCAAGGACAGGCAGAACTTCGTATACCAGGTCAGAGTCAGATACAGTGCCTTGCAAAAGTATTCATCCCTCTTGGCGTTTTTCCTATTTTGTTGCGTTACAACCTGTAATTTAAATGGATTTTTATTTGGATTTCATGTAATGGACATACACAAAATAGTCCAAATTGGTGAAGTGAAATGAAAAAAATTACTTGTTTCAAAAAATTCGAAAGAATATATAACGGAAAAGTGGTGCGTGCATATGTATTCACCCCCTTTGCTATGAAGCCCCTAAATAAGATCTGGTGCAACCAATTACCTTCAGAAGTAACATAATTAGTTAAATAAAGTCCACCTGTGTGCAATCTAAGTGTCACATGATCGATTATATGATCTCAGTATGTATACACCTGTTCTGAAAGGTCCCAGAGTCTGCAACACCACTAAGCAAGGGGCACCGCCAAGCAAGCGGCACCATGAAGACCAAGGAGCTCTCCAAACAGGTCAGGGAAAAAGTTGTGGAGAAGTACAGATCAGGGTTGGGTTATAAAAAAATATCAGAAACTTTGAACATCCCACAGAGCACCAAATCCATTATAAAAAAATTATACCAAAGATAACCGTGAAGGAGCTGCAAAGCTCCACAGCGGAGATTGGAGTATCTGTCCATAGGACCACTTTAAGCCGTACACTCCACAGAGCTGGGCTTTACGGAAGAGTGGCCATAAAAAAGCCATTGCTTGAAGAAAAAAATAAGCAAACACGTTTGGTGTTCGCCAAAAGCCATGTGGGAGACTCCCCAAACATATGGAAGAAGGTACTCTGGTCAGATGAGACAAAAATGGAGCTTTTTGGCCATCAAGGAAAACGCTATGTCTGGCGCAAACCCAACACCTCTCATCACCCCGAGAACACCATCTCCACAGTGAAGCATGGCGCTGGCAGCATCATGCTGTGGGGATGTTTTTCATCGGCAGTGACTGGGAAACTGGTCAGAATTGAAGGAATGATGGATGGCGCTAAATACAGGGAAATCCTTGAGGGAAACCTGTTTCAGTCTTCCAAAGATCTGAGACTGGGACGGAGTGTCACGATCGTCATAAGTAACGGACCAAGGCGCAGCGTGATACGCGTACATCTTTTAATGAGTACTTTATACACTACAACAAAACAACAAAACGATACGTGAAGTCCTAAGGTTAAACAAACACAAACCTCTCCGGAACAAGATCCCACAAATAACTGTGCAAAACAGGCTGCCTAAGTATGGTTCCCAATCAGAGACAACGAGAATCAGCTGCCTCTGATTGGGAACCACCCTGGCCAACATAGATCCACACGATCTAGAACATAAACCTAGAAAACTAAACATAGAAACTAACACCCTGGCTCAACATTAAAGAGTCCCCAGAGCCAGGGCGTGACAGTACCCCCCCCCCAAAGGCGCGGACTGCGACCGCGCCAACCAAACATCACAGGGGAGGGGCCGGGTGGGCATTCCGTCTCGGAGGCGGATCCGGCTCCGGGCGTGACCACCCCTCTCTCTCGCCCTCGTGGTCTGGCCCTGCTGACCGGAGCTGGACTGAACACCGGTGGAGCGGATTGCTCTGGCTCCGGCGTGGAGCGGCTGACCGGTGCCGGACCAGGCACAGGTGGAACAGGCACGGACCGTGCCGGACTGACGACGCGCACCACTGGCTTGGTGCGGGGAGCGGGAACAGGCCGGACCGGGCTGAAGACGCGCACCACTGGCTTGGTGCAGGGAGCAGGAACGGGCCGGACCGGGCTGACGACGCGCCCCACTGGCTTGGTGCGGGGAGCAGGAACGGGCCGGACCGGGCTGACGACGCGCACCACTGGCTTGGTGCGGGGAGCAGGAACGGACCGGACCGGGCTGACGACGCGCACCACTGGCTTGGTGCGGGGAGCAGGAACGGGCTGGACCGGGCTGACGACGCGCACCACTGGCTTGGTGCGGGGAGCAGGAACGGGCCGGACCGGGCTGACGACGCGCACCACTGGCTTGGTGCGAGGGACAGGAACAGGCCGGACCGTACTGGGACCACACACCACTGGCCTTGTGCGGGGATCAGGAACGGGCCGGACCGGACTGTTAACACACCCCAGTACCTCTCGCCATGCCTCTACACTCTCCTTCCCCCTCATGACCAATGGCCCCCGTAACCTGGTGGCCTCCTCTCCTAGTCCACAAACTTGCCCTGTAGCTACCTCCAGCAGCCCCGTCGTCCATGCCGTGTGCCCCCCCCAAAAAAATGTCTTGGGGTTGCCTCTCGCCTGTCCGACGACGGCACGGTTGGCGCCGTACCTCCTCTCTCGCCAGGGCTTTAACTTTTGCCCATGGCCCTTTGCCCGCGAACATGTCCTCCCAAGACCACCATTCGCCCACCTGGGACACCGCCAACTTCTCCATTTCCTTTCCCGGTGTTTGCTCCTGAACACGCTGCTTGGTCCTTCTTTGGTGGGATCTTCTGTCACGATCGTCATAAGTAACGGACCAAGGCGCAGCGTGATACGCGTACATCTTTTAATGAGTACTTTATACACTACAACAAAACAACAAAATGGTACGTGAAGTCCTAAGGTTAAACAAACACAAACCTCTCCGGAACAAGATCCCACAAATAACTGTGCAAAACAGGCTGCCTAAGTATGGTTCCCAATCAGAGACAACGAGAATCAGCTGCCTCTGATTGGGAACCACCCTGGCCAACATAGATCCACACGATCTAGAACATAAACCTAGAAAACTAAACATAGAAACTAACACCCTGGCTCAACATTAAAGAGTCCCCAGAGCCAGGGCGTGACACGGAGGTTCACCTTCCAGCAGGACAATGACCCTAAGCATACTGCTAAAGCAACACTCGAGTGGTTTAAGGGGAAACATTTAAATATATTGGAATGGCTTAGTCAAAGCCCAGACCTCAATCCAATTGAGAATCAGTGGTATGACTTAAAGATTGCTGTACACCAGCGGAACCCATCCAACTTGAAGTAGCTGCAGCAGTTTTGCCTTGAAGAATGGGCATAAATCCCAGTGGCTAGATGTGCCAATCTTATAGAGACATACCCCAAAAGACTTGCAGCTGTAATTGCTGCAAAAGGTGGCTCTACAAAGTATTGACTTTGGGGAGGTTGAATAGTTATGCACGCTCAAGTTCTGTTTATTTTTTTATTTCTTGTTTGTTTCACAAAAAATATTTTGCATCTTCAAAGTGGTAGGCATGTTGTGTAAATCAAATGATACAAACCCCCCAAAAATCCATTTTAATTCCAAGTTGTAAGGCAACAAAATAGGAAAAATGCCAAGGGGGGTGAATATTTTTGCAAGCCACTGTAGGTACAGGACGGCAGGCAGGCTCGAGGTCAGGGCAGGCAGAGTGTAGCTCTGTAGTAGTGACATCTAGATGCAAAACTAATTTGTCTTGTGCAAAGAGACAGAGACTTCAGTTTCATGGCTATTGCATGATTGGATGATTTTTGATGATTTTAAACATACTGTTATGTTCTCTAAAACAATATTGACAGAGAGTCTACTGTACACCATGACTATTATGATTCAGTTTGTATGCTGTATGTTTCCATATTGACATAATGCTGCAATTACAGTGGGTTTGTATACTCCAAATCCTATATGATTACAGACTACAGAATAGTTCAAACAGTGTGTTTTAGTCCTCCTCTACTCTGGTTAGTAGTGTGGTTAAGGTTATGGTTAGTTTTAAAATCAGATTTTTATGAGAGAAATTGTAGAACTTCTGCCTTTGCGGCTTGGCCAGTTAGTGACAACTGACAAACCTCTACTTTCTCCACCACTCTGCCTCAGCGCAGCAGAAACACATTATGGCCTCTACCTTCTCCTTGCGCAGCTACTCAGTCCGCCATCCCTCCTTCTCCAGCATGTCTCTGAGAAACAGCAGTGGCAGTGGTGGCCGGAGTCGCTCCAAGGCCCCTGTCTCCTCCCTGTCCTCCGCCAGCACGCTTTCCCTCACCCGCTCCCTCTCTGTGGGCAATGGGCTCAATGTCCTGGGCACCCTCTCCTCCCTGAATGGCATGGGTGTGGGCGCTAGCGACAGCGAAACAATGAAAGGCCTGAACGACCAGCTGTCCAACTACCTGGACAAGGTACGCTCCCTGGAGAGATCCAACGATGAGCTAGAGCGCAAGATCAAACAACTCATGCTGGAGCGGGCGCCCAAAGGTCACGATATCGAGGGCATGATGGCTCAGGCTCACGCCATTGGAGAGAAGGTCAGTGCCCACCCGGCCTTAATGATAAATATTATATGTAATCAGCCAGCCAGTAATTGTGTACCATTATAGCTTACAATACACTCAGGAACAATTATTGTTTACATTTGTGTAGGCCTTTTCCATAAACGTCTCATGTATGCGCCCTGCCGTGCTCCTCAACTTTTTGCTTTCACAAGTACATTCGATCCGTCTTCGCTTTCCTGCGATGGGACACTTACATATGTGTACCTATGTGCTTAAGTGTCTAACTTTAAAGTAAAGGTGTTCCTTCCTGCTACTCCTCAGGTGAGAAAGAAGACCCTGGAAAATGCTCGCATCATACTGGAGATTGATAACGCCAAGCTGGCCGCCGATGACTTCAGGGTCAAGTGAGTGCCAACATAGAGGGGCTTTTCTTTTACATGGGAGTACTAAACTGCATTGCACTTTGGATAAATGACCTCTCTGTCATGCTGAGAAAAAATAGCCTGTTCCCACAGTGCTCACAGACAGAAAGGAGGCCATCAGTTCACACTGGCCATAATAGATAGATAGTGTCGTGGAAATTCTTACACAGGGACACTCAAAGTAAATCTTAAATGAATAATTGTTTATTGTCAGCGCGCTGGAGAGGTTCCAACAAATGTATTGCACCATAGTGAACGTCTGTCAGAAGCTCTAACGACAAGTTATATTTGCATGATTTAGCTTATTCATCATTCATAATTAATGTTTCCTTCATTCATGTGACGACCAATACTTGGTCATGCATGTGACAAACTAAGCTGCTTCATAAAATGTGCCACCGGTTTTCCTCGCAGACCCCCACTGGAAAGCTCCGCAGGCAGAATCAATAATCCTGTTCGTGACGGCAAATTGTCGTGGAATTTCTTACACAGGGACACTCTAAGTCAATCTTAAATGAATCATTGTTTATTGTCAGCATGCTGGAGAGGTTCCAACAAACTTAATGCACCATAGTGAACGTCTGTCAGAAACTTTAATGGGGCAGTCCCGTTAGTTCTCTTATATACTGACAAATTATATTTGCATGATTTAGCTTATTCATCATTTATAATTAATGTTTGCTTCATTCATGTGAATACAAAAGCTGGATCACGCATGTGACAGACCAATACCTCACAAGGCTTCTTCTCTCTAAGCGGAGACTTTGAAACAGAGATATCCCTTTCTCTAAGCAAGGTTCTGGGCGTAGTGCCTAATTGCAGATACTGATAGTGAGGATTCGTTCAATCAGTCACTTGCATGAACACAGAAATTGGTGTATAGAAAAGCACAAACATAGAACATAGAAATTGGTAAATAGAAAAGCAATAACAGAAACATTTCCATCCTTACAAAAATCCAGAAAATCACATTGTATGATTTTTAAGTAATTCATTTGCATTTTATTGCATGACATAAGTATTTGATCACCTACCAACCAGTAAGAATTCCGGCTCTCACAGACCTGTTAGTTTTTCTTTAAGAAGCCCTCCTGTTCTCCACTCATTACCTGTATTAACTGCACCTGTTTGAACTCGTTACCTGTATAAAAGACACCTGTCCACACACTCAATCAAACAGACTCCAACCTCTCCACAATGGCCAAGACCAGAGAGCTGTGTAAGGACATCAGGGATAAAATTGTAGACCTGCACAAGTCTGGGATGGGCTACAGGACAATAGGCAAACAGCTTGGTGAGAAGGCAACAACTGTTGGCGCAATTATTAGAAAATGGAAGAAGTTCAAGATGACGGTCAATCACCCTCGGTCTGGGGCTCCATGCAAGATCTCACCTCGTGGGGCATCAATGATCATGAGGAAGGTGAGGGATCAGCCCAGAACTACACAGCAGGACCTGGTCAATGACCTGAAGAGAGCTGGGACCACAGTCTCAAAGAAAACCATTAGTAACACACTACGCCGTCATGGATTAAAATCCTGCAGCGCACGCAAGGTCCCCCTGCTCAAGCCAGCTCATGTCCAGGCCCGTTTTAAGTTTACCAATGACCATCTGGATGATCCAGAGGAGGAATGGGAGAAGGTCATGTGTTCTGATGAGACAAAAATATAGCTTTTTGGTCTAAACTCCACACGCTGTGTTTGGAGGAAGAAGAAGGATGAGTACAACCCCAAGAACACCATCCCAACCGTGAAGCATGGAGGTGGAAACATCATTCTTTGGGGATGCTTTTCTGCAAAGGGGACAGGACGACTGCACCGTATTGAGGGGAGGATGGATGGGGCCATGTATCGCGAGATCTTGGCCAACAACCTCCTTCCCTCAGTAAGAGCATTGAAGATGGGTCGTGGCTGGGTCTTCCAGCATGACAACGACCCGAAACACACAGCTAGGGCAACTAAGGAGTGTCTCCGTAAGAAGCATCTCAAGGTCCTGGAGTGGCCTAGCCAGTCTCCAGACCTGAACCCAATAGAAAATCTTTGGGAGGGAGCTGAAAGTCCGTATTGCCCAGCGACAGCCCCGAAACCTGAAGGATCTGGAGAAGGTCTGTATGGAGGAGTGGGCCAAAATCCCTGCTGCAGTGTGTGCAAACCTGGTCAAGACCTACAGGAAACGTATGATCTCTGTAATTGCAAACAAAGGTTTCTGTACCAAATATTAAGTTCTGCTTTTCTGATGTATCAAATACTTATGTCATGCAATAAAATGCAAATTAATTACTTAAAAATCATACAACAGCTTCTTCTCTCTAAGCTGAGACTTTGAAACTGAGATATCAGTTTCTCTAAACAAGGTTCTGGGCGTACTGCCAAATTGCAGATACTGATAGTGAGGATTCGTTCAATCAGTCACTTGCATGAACACAGAAACTGGTTTATAGAAAAGCACAAACATAGAACATAGAAATGGGTAAATAGAAAAGTACAAACAGGAACATTTCCATGACAATAGGATCAAGGAGACATCATCCGTTTCAGAGGTATCTGCAAGGCAAAAGGCGCCAGAGTACAGTCTGTGTCGAGGTCCCTAAGTATTCACAATGTATTGACTGTATACAGTCAGATGTTGGAATGCAGCAATGCTCACAGTATGTTGCGATGTATCTGTTGACCGAGGTATGGTTATGTGTGTGTGTGTACCTGCTTGCATGTGTGTGTGTGTACCTGCATGTGTACATGTGTGAGTGTGTCTATGTCTCTGTTACCATCCATCTGTGGATACAATTCATCTGTGTAGATGGGAGGCTGAGGCCCCACTGTGCCAGTCTGTAGAGAGGGACTGTCTTGCTCTGAGAAAGGCCAAGTCAGAACTCGTCCAAATCATAGCTACTCTCAGAGGAGATCTGAACATCCTGAAGGAGGAGCTCTACTTCCTCAAGAAGAATCATGATGAGGTAAGAGCTCCGCTGCATGGGTCAAAAGTCATGTCAAAACAGGTCCACCTATTACTGATGAGTATTTACACGTCAACCTAATCACCTCAAACATTGTCAAACAGTTTTTGGTTCAGTGGAGGGTCGCTGCAGGAAACAGAGTTGGATTCTGGATTGTCCCAGTGCACATACTCTTAAATATGAATTACATCCTCAAAAAACCATGTGGATTCATATGGTGTTTCCCTAAGGCATATTTTTGACTTAAAATAATGTTTATTATTATAGACAAATTGTGCTTTTTTGTAACAGAGGTATTTGTGTTAAAATGTAAAAATCTTTAAATTTGGTCAAGTTTGGTACAGTTTGGTACAGTTTCTCTCCCCCAGGCATGTTGAATGTCACTGAAATATGATTGTGAGTAAAATGACCACAACCTGTACTCTCTGTAGTCTCTGACTGTAGATACCATTATCAGACTACTGTACACACACACACACACACACACACACACACACACACACACACACACACACACACACACACACACACACACACACACACACACACACACACACACACAAACAAACAAACAAACAAACATCACATCACGCAACCTCCACTAGTGACAGGGAGTGTGTTTAGACAGCCAGGCATGGTGTCCAGAATGTGGCCAGCTACACATGCTCCCTAGTAGAAAGGATATCTCACATGCACACACACACTATTACCTCTGAACAGACAGTATTGTGTCAATGTTTCAGTCAGATACCTTTTTTAAGACGGCTCACCACCTGGCTGCCTCCCCATAGAACCAGGAACAACACACTGACATGAACTACCGGCTGAACTATCTGGGTGTTAGTGTGTAGACATTGATTAGGACCGATCAGTATCAGCCATTACAGTTTTAAATCTCCAGGCCCACTGAATGTGTGTCTCTCTCCATCAGGTTTGGGGTCAATTCCAATTCTAATTCCAGTTTAATTCCTGAGGTGCCTGAATTGAAATGGAGTTGACCTCAACCATGGTCTCATGTGCCTGTGGGAGATGGGCTCCATGAAGGCCCGTATGAACAATGAGCAGGTGAATGTGGAGGTGGATGCGGCCCAGGGCCCAGATCTTAAGGCCATAATGGCTGAGCTGAGGATCCAGTATGAGGGCATTGCTCGTAAGAACAAGAAGGACTCAGAGATCTGGTACCTGAAGAAGGTCAGTGAGAAGTCTGGCATGGTAATGATGACGATCTCAGCTGAGCTCAGTAGGATATCACTCTTAAGACTGAGTAGAAGTATTCTACAGTATATTGTCTGTGTTTGTGTACAGTGTACTGTATGTGGGTAGATGTACTCATGAATGCTGTGTGTATGCAACACTGCTGGTGCAATGGAATACTTCTTCAGTGCCAGCCTGATTGTTTACTGCATATACACGTACAGTGGGGAAAAAAAGTATTTAGTCAGCCACCAATTGTGCAAGTTCTCCCACTTAAAAAGATGAGAGAGGCCTGTAATTTTCATCATAGGTACACGTCAACTATGACAGACAAAATGAGATTTTTTTCTCTCCTGAAAATCACATTGTAGGATTTTTTATGAATTGATTTGCAAATTGTGGTGGAAAATAAGTATTTGGTCAATAACAAAAGTTTCTCAATACTTTGTTATATACCCTTTGTTGGCAATGACACAGGTCAAACATTTTCTGTAAGTCTTCACAAGGTTTTCACACACTGTTGCTGGTATTTTGGCCCATTCCTCCATGCAGATCTCCTCTAGAGCAGTGATGTTTTGGGGCTGTCGCTGGGCAACACAGACTTTCAACTCCCTCCAAAGATTTTCTATGGGGTTGAGATCTGGAGACTGGCTAGGCCACTCCAGGACCTTGAAATGCTTCTTACGAAGCCACTCCTTCGTTGCCCGGGCGGTGTGTTTGGGATCATTGTCATGCTGAAAGACCCAGCCACGTTTCATCTTCAATGCCCTTGCTGATGGAAGGAGGTTTTCACTCAAAATCTCACGATACATGGCCCCATTCATTCTTTCCTTTACACGGATCAGTCGTCCTGGTCCCTTTGCAGAAAAACAGCCCTAAAGCATGATGTTTCCACCCCCATGCTTCACAGTAGGTATGGTGTTCTTTGGATGCAACTCAGCATTCTTTGTCCTCCAAACACGACGAGTTGAGTTTTTACCAAAAAGTTCTATTTTGGTTTCATCTGACCATATGACATTCTCCCAATCCTCTTCTGGATCATCCAAATGCACTCTAGCAAACTTCAGACGGGCCTGGACATGTACTGGCTTAAGCAGGGGGACACGTCTGGCACTGCAGGATTTGAGTCCCTGGCGGCGTAGTGTGTTACTGATGGTAGGCTTTGTTACTTTGGTCCCAGCTCTCTGCAGGTCATTCACTAGGTCCCCCTGTGTGGTTCTGGGATTTTTGCTCACCGTTCTTGTGATCATTTTGACCCCACGGGGTGAGATCTTGCGTGGAGCCCCAGATCGAGGGAGATTATCAGTGGTCTTGTATGTCTTCCATTTCCTAATAATTGCTCCCACAGTTAATTTCTTCAAACCAAGCTGCTTACCTATTGCAGATTCAGTCTTCCCAGCCTGGTGCAGGTCTACAATTTTGTTTCTGGTGTCCTTTGACAGCTCTTTGGTCTTGGCCATAGTGGAGTTTGGAGTGTGACTGTTTGAGGTTGTGGACAGGTGTATTTTATACTGATAACAAGTTCAAACAGGTGCCATTAATACAGGTAACGAGTGGAGGACAGAGGAGCCTCTTAAAGAAGAAGTTACAGGTCTGTGAGAGCCAGAAATCTTGCTTGTTTGTAGGTGACCAAATACTTATTTTCCACCATAATTTGCAAATAAATTCATTAAAAATCCTACAATGTGATTTTCAGGATTTTTTTCTCTCAATTTGTTTGTCATAGGTGACGTGTACCTATGATGAAAATTACAGGCCTCTCTCATCTTTTTAAGTGGGAGAACTTGCACAATTGGTGGCTGACTAAATACTTTTTTTCCCCACTGTATGATATGTGCGCTTGTGTGTGTTTGTGTCTGCGTGTGTGTGTGTGTGTACGTGCACGTGAACATGTGTGTGTATGTGTATATGTGTGTGTGTTTTGCAGCTGGAGTCAGTGCAGTCGGAGGTAAAGAAGAGCGGTGATGCGCTGCACTGTGCTCAGAGCAAGCTCAGCGAAAGACGCCGCTTCTTACAGGCCCTGGAGGGGTAACTGGACAGTCTGCAGCTCTCTTCCAGCTGTCCAAACGCCCCCTTCTGTCCATACATGCCTCCTTTCAGTCCATACACATACCCTTTAGCTGTCCAGACACACCCCCTTTCTGTCCAGACACACCCTTTCGGTCCAGACATACCTCCTTCCGCAGTCCAGACACATACCCTTTTCTGTCCTCTACCATTCCTTCTGCCTCTACCTATGCTTTCCCACTTATGAGAAGCAGGGTTGGGGTCAATTCAGTCTGGATTTTGAGGATACTAAACCCCTAGGCATCTCTGTAAAATGAACCCTGTGGGAGGCACATGGAAAAACACTCCTCAAATAGATTGAGTCATCCTCTCTTAGTGTGTTGCTTCACACCTGCATCTGCTTTGCCATTACAAAGCAACAGTGCTGCAGTGCACACAGTGGATATAGTCTGCTCTCCTGAGTGAATGGTGAATGGAGGTCAATTAATCAATGTGTCAGGACCCAGACAGAGACAAAAAAGTCAAGGCCATGTTTGTGGCACTGTCAGTAACATGTGAGGGCAGATCTACACATACTGCAGCAGCTCCAGATTTACATAGAGAAGGTGCTGCTTTGGAAAATAGGCCTGTTCATGTATGTCTGTTCAACCTGATAAACAACCTACTGTATCTATAAGCTGAATAATGAGTGAATAATGACACTCCCTGGTCTTGCTGGTCAGATGGTGAGTTTGACAGGTGGTAACTTGATGAGCCTGGTGTCTGGAAGTCTAGAGCCATAGACTCTGTATAGGTCTACTCTGGCTGTGTCTGTGTATAATATTACTTAGAATGGCGCCGGAGGGGATGGCTGCCATTTTACTGGGCTCCTAATCAACAGTGCTATTTTGTGTGTTTTTTCGCATTGTTTGTAACTTATTTTGTATATAATGTTGCTGCTACTGTCTCTTATGACTTAAAAGAGCTTCTGGATATCAGAACAGCGATTACTCACCTCGAACTGGACAAATATTTTTTATTTAATGAGACCGACGCGAAGGATATACTGTTTCTCCAAGACCAGGCCCAAATCCCTGTCATTCGTGTGAAGAAAAGACGGAGGTACAGGAGGCGGAGATCGGGGTGCCTTGTGAGAATTTGTCGGTGAGTGGGTAACCCGCCTCTACCATCCGTTCTATTGGCCAACGTGCAATCACTGGAGAATAAACTGGAAGTGCTCCGTTCGAGACTATCCTACCAACGAGACATTAAAAACTGTAATATCTTATGTTTCACCGAGTCTTGGCTGAACGACAACACGGATAATATACAGTTGGCTGGGTTTTCCGTGCATCAGCAGGACAGAACAGCTATTTGTCAATAACAGCTGGTGCGCGATGTCTAATATTAAGGAAGTCTCGAGGTATTGCTCGCCTGACATAGCTTGTCTGTAGCTCAGCTGGTAGAGCACGGCGCTTGTAACGCCAAGGTAGTGGGTTCGATCCCCGGGACCACCCATACACAAAAAAATGTATGCACGCATGACTGTAAGTCGCTTTGGATAAAAGCGTCTGCTAAATGGCATATTATTATTATTATTATAGCTTGAGAGGATCTGCAAAGAAGAATGGGAGAAACTCCCCAAATACAGGTGTGCCAAGCTTGTAGCGTCATACCCAAGAAGACTCGATGCTGTAATTGCTGCCAAAGGTGCTTCAACAAAGTACTGAGTAAAGGGTCTGGATACTTATGTAAATGTGATAACATTTTCTAAAAACCTGTTTTTTCTTTGTCATTATGGGGTATTGTGTGTAGATTGATGAGGGGGAAAAACTATTTAATCCATTTTAGAATAAGGCTGTAATGTAACAAAATGTGGAAAAAGTCAAGGGGTCTGAATACTTTCCGAATGCACTGTATGGTGGAGTTGAGTTTTTTCAGCTAGATTAATTGATGTATAATTCAGACAAGGATGAGAAGATGAGACAAGAGCCTTTTAACAAACATCTGTTGTTTCGACCAATCGATTGGGCGAAATTTAAAAACATGTATTTTTCCATATATAGACACAACCTATGTGTTTTAATAAAATCACCTATATTTTCACTGAGCTTGTCTAATGCTTTAAGCTCACTGTTTGATGAAATAAGACACAAATGACTCAAGAGGGAGCCAGACATCAAGATAACATGTCCCGAACATCCCTCCTCCCGCTCCTACTGGGTTTCGCAGATTCTGCCATTACTCTCCTGAATTTGCCAGTAATAGGCTACATGAGGAGTCAGCAAACTTTCTCATGTGGAATGCCAATTTATCTTACCATTCCTACCTATCTGCGTGCCAGTTATGGTTTTCATATGCACATTTTCGTGGAACAGTTTCATTGAATTTATAATGACGTCTTCGTATCTCAAAATCATTGATGTGGTTAATCAAAATTCTATCCAAATCTAAATGAAAATGATACAAACATAAAAAGTAACTTCTATTACCATTGCTAACTTGTAAAAATAGCCTATAAAGCCAACAAATAAAAACATTGCAGCCTGCAGGTAGAAAATATCCTGATAAAAATAAATATCTTCTAAATCACATTGGCTACGCATTGTATCAACTACTAACTTGGGTACAGCCTGAAGCTCCTTGCAACATTGTATTAAATGTTCTGGGCCCTCAGAGTTTCCTGCACCAGTGAGCTCGGGACAGACACAGCTGTAGGCTATTTGCGCAAGGGATAAGAAGTAATCAGGTAGGCCTATTTTATGATGTTTCCACTGAATCAGAGCATGTCATCCCCCCCCCCCCCCTTTCAGCTGAGTGGTTATTGAAAGGGAGAGAGCTGGAAAGATTTTTCAAATAGCCTACATTGAGGAATTATTGTCATTCTCAATGGATTTAAAAACAGACTTTGTTTGCTTGCTGTTTGAGGTGAAGAAAACATTATTTGAGAAGCTCCACAGTGGTGCATTAAGCCAATCAGAAATACTATCAGGTCCCCAAGTGGGCACATTTATATATTTACATTTGCGTGCAGGCCAGTTATCCTATAGGCCTACACATATGTGTAATCAGGTGCTCGTCCTTACTCAAAATTGACAGGAGCGCTCCAAACCAAAGACAATGACAAAATTGACAAAACTTGTAAATGGAATGAAATAAACCAAAACTTGTTTCTCACAAGTGTAGCATAGGTTGTGCGCTCTGAAAACAATGTGTCCACTCTGACAACAAGAATGGTAAAAGACTGGAATAATAATATATTGAATGCATTAACAGACATTACCGTAACCAAACCAACATTGTACTGTAGATTAGGAATAAATGGTAGATGTACTATTGGTGATATATATATACAGTGAGGGAAAAAAGTATTTGATCCCCTGCTGATTTTGTACGTTTGCCCACTGAAAAATACATAATCAGTCTATAATTTTAATGGTAGGTTTATTTGAACAGTGAGAGACAGAATAACAACAAAAAAATCATGTCAAAAATGTTATAAATTGATTTGCATTTTAATGAGGGAAATAAGTATTTGACCCCTCTGCAAAACATGACTTAGTACTTGGTGGCAAAACCCTTGTTGGCAATCACAGAGGTCAGACGTTTCTTGTAGTTGGCCACCAGGTTTGCACACATCTCAGGAGGGATTTTGTCCCACTCCTCTTTGCAAATCTTCTCCAAGTCATTAAGGTTTCGAGCCTGATGTTTGGCAACTCGAACCTTCAGTTCCCTCCACAGATTTTCTATGGGATTAAGGTCTGGAGACTGGCTAGGCCACTCCAGGACCTTTAATGTACTTCTTCTTGAGTCACTCCTTTGATGCCTTGGCCGTGTGTTTTGGGTCATTGTCATGCTGGAATACCCATCCACGACCCATTTTCAATGCCCTGGCTGAGGGAAGGAGGTTCTCACCCAAGATTTGACGGTACATGGCCCCGTCCATCGTCCCTTTGATGCGGTGAAGTTGTCCTGTCCCCTTAGCAGAAAAACACCCCCAAAGCATAATGTTTCCACCTCCATGTTTGATGGTGGGGATGGTGTTCTTGGGGTCATAGGCAGCATTCCTCCTCCTCCAAACACGGCGAGTTGAGTTGATGGCAAAGAGCTCGATTTTGGTCTCATCTGACCACAACACTTTCACCCAGTTCTCCTCTGAATCATTCAGATGTTCATTGGCAAACTTCAGACGGCCCTGTATATGTGCTTTCTTGAGCAGGGGGACCTTGCGGGCGCTGCAGGATTTCAGTTCTTCACAGCGTAGTGTGTTACCAATTGTTTTCTTGGTGACTATGGTCCCAGCTGCCTTGAGATCATTGACAAGATCCTCCCGTGTAGTTCTGGGCTGATTCCTCACAGTTTTCATGATCATTGCAACTCCACAAGGTGAGATCTTGCATGGAGCCCCAGGCCGAGGGAGATTGACAGTTCTTTGTGTTTCTTCCATTTGCGAATAATCGCACCAACTGTTGCCACCTTCTCACCAAGCTGCTTGGCGATGGTCTTGTAGCCCATTCCAGCCTTGTGTAGGTCTACAATCTTGTCCCTGACATCCTTGGAGAGCTCTTTGGTATTGGCCATGGTGGAGAGTTTGGAATCTGATTGATTGATTGCTTCTGTGGACAGGTGTCTTTTATACAGGTAACAAGCTGAGATTAGGAGCACTCCCTTTAAGATTGTGCTCCTAATCTCAACTCGTTACCTGTATAAAAGACACCTGGGAGCCAGAAATCTTTCTGATTGAGAGGGGGTCAAATACTTATTTCCCTCATTAAAATGTAAATCAATGTATAACATTTTTGACATGCGTTTTTTCTGGATTTTGTTGTTGTTATTCTGTCTCTCACTGTTCAAACAAACCTACCATTAAAATGATAGACTGATCATGTCTTTGTCAGTGGGCAAACGTACAAAATCAGCAGGGGATCAAATGCTTTTTTCCCTCACTGTATAATATATTTGCTACTGCTCGACAAAAAACTATCTTGGTCGACCAACAGCCTATCGACCAAACAATCGACCAGTCTAATAATTGGGGTCAGCCCTTTTGACCAGGCTTGCTTCCTTCATATGTAAGTAAACTGTGTTTATTGATTTGACTTTCAGGATCAAGGAAATGCCTCCCCATTAAAGTAAGTACATTTCTTGTCTACCCCTGATCCCAGCCTTTAAAATCCCAGCAGCCATTTTGTTCTACACACCAGCTATTACATTGTAGTAGTGCTGATAAGTGGAAACTGTAACTGTGGATCTGTTCTTTGTTCCAGAGGAGCCCGGGGTGAGGACCATGAAGATCGTTAAGGTGGTGACCCAGACCGTGATGAACGGCAGTGTAGTGGATGAATCCAGCAAGATGGAGCAGATCGAGGAGAGCAAGACATGAGCTCATCAGCTCCATTAGTTTATTTACATTATCTTCATCATCATCATCATCACACACAGAACCATTGGCCCTCCACATTCTGATTGGACACACATGAAAGATTGCTTTTTGTCTACTAACCACATTGACTAAGGACAGTCTGAGATGTCCGACCACCAGTCTCTGGACATACAGTAATTGTAGACTGCCGTGATTACTGTTGGAAAATGTGTGGGGTCAATATATAATCAATATCGGGAATATATAATCTTGGGTTTATTTGAGAAATAGTAAACACATTTTCTGCATCTTTAAGGGTGTTTTTTTTGTGTGCTTTAATTGTTGATGGGGTGAGAGTAAGTCTGGACTACATGTGTGTATGTTTTTATGTGAGCAGGAGGTCATGAGAGATCCCTTCAACATCCTACTTTACATTTAGTTGTCTTAATGGCATGTAGTAACTTTGTAACTATATTGTACATTTGTAACCAAAATGTAACTATAGTATAGTTGCATAATTATTATTTTTTTAATCCCATGTAACCACATGGAATTGTAACTGTGTAACTTCATGCAAAGTGTGAACTCAGCTTGAATAATAAAAAGGTCAGCATAACAAGCAGATTCATTTACCCACCGAATGTAATAGTATATTGTTGTATATCTGTATGCTTTCACCTCTATCACCTCTATGTCCTTAAACAAGGCTACTTGGAAACCCTGTGGAAGAAGAAGCAGGAACTGAATATAACAGGGAGGCAGAAACTGAGGAAAGAGTTATGAAATTCAGCTACAACAAGAGAGCAGAAGCCAAAATAGCTATGTGACCCAAATACAGTAGTCTCAGATGTCAAGCCTTTGTGTGTGTATATGTGTGTGTGTGTGTGTGTGTGTTTGGTTTCACTATCCTTGAGGGGGCCTGAAGTGGGGGCATTTTTCCAGTCTCCACAAGGCAAAAGGCTATTTTAGGATTAGGGGTTGGGTTACAATTAGGGTTTGAATTAAGTTAACGGGTTATGTTTAGGGTTAGAGTTAGGGGTTTGGGGTTAAGTTACGGGTTAGGGTTTAGAGTTGGGGGTTAGTGTTTTGTCCACACAAGGATAGTAAAACAAATGTGTGTGTGCATGTATGTGTGTGTGTGCGAGAGAGAGAGAGAGAGACTGAAGTTGTTTAGCGAGATGTTCTTTTGTCATGTGATCAAAACAGAAAGGAAAATGTTTTAATTGATTAGACTCAATCCACTTTTGTCACCTGCCACCAATTCTAAATCACATTTATCAAACTAAAACACACGTTTGTTTGCAATGACAACAGTGACTCCCTTGACAGCCTAGGCAGGCAGTACAATAGTGTTGATGTCATGAAAAGCATTGCACTATCCTGTCTTTCTGGGTTATTGTGCTGCGTATAGAGGTAAGATCTGGTGTCATGTCAGTTATAATACCATCTATGGCTACTGTCACCTGCCCCAAACTGTCTATCTGAGCTCTATCTTACTCTTGTTAACATGGATGATCAGTTGTAGATAAGGGCCAAACTTTTATCTTCTATCGCTCTTTATAATGAGCCTGTCTAACTCAATATGGTACTTCGCGAGTGTGTTCTATTTCTGTAAAGTGCACAGTACTCATTTGGGTTTTTTCAAAGCACCCTTTTTTCTACCCCTTTCACTGCCCTGACCTAGTGTGTGAAGTTCCCCGCTGACTAGTACGTATGTGCTAAGGTAGACGTCACCTGAGCAGCTGAGGTACTGAGGTCACTAAAGCACTGTATATAAGATGGTGACTCCTCAGCTCCCATCACACTGTATAATGACATGAGTTTCATGTACACTACATGACCAAAAGTAAGTGTTATGGGTGTAAGTGTTATGGGAGGCTTTCCTCTAGATGTTGGAACATTGCTGCAGGGACTTGCTTCCATTCAGCCACAAGAGCATTAGTGAGGTCGGGCACTGATGTTGGGCGATTAGGCCTGGCTCGCAGTCAGCGTTCCAATTCATCCCAAAGGTGTTTGATGGGGTTGAGGTCAGGGCTCTGTGCAGGCCAGTTAAGTTCTTCCACAACGATCTCGACAAACCATTTCTGTATGGACCTCGTTTTGTGCACGGGGGAATTATCATGCTGAAACAGGAAAGGGCCTTCCCCAAACTGTTGCCAAAAAGTTGAAAGCACAGAATCATCTAGAATGTAATTGTATGCTGTAGGTTTAAGAATTTCCTTCACTGGAACTAAGGGACATAGCCCGAACCATGAAAAACAGCCCCAGACCATTATTCCTCCTCCACCAAACTTTGCATTTGAGCAGGTAGCATTCTCCTGGCATCCGCCAAACCAAGATTCGTCCATCGGACTGCCAGATGGTGAAGCGTGATTCATCACTCCAGAGAACGCGTTTCCACTGCTCCAGAGTCCAATGGCAGCGAGCTTTACACCACTCCAGCCGACGTTTGGCTTTGCACATGGTGATCTTAGGCTGTGTGTGGCTGCTTGGCCATGGAAACCTCCCGACGAACAGTTATTGTGCTGACGTTGCTTCCAGAGGCAGTTTGGAACTCGGTAGTGAGTGTTGCAACCGAGGACAGACGATTTTTATGCGCTACGCGCTTCAGCACTCGGCGGTCCCGTTCTGTGAGCTTGTGTGGCCTACCACTTCGCTGCTGAGCCGTTGTTGCTCTTAGACGTTTCCACTTCATAATAATGGCACTTACAGTTGACCGGGGCAGCTCTAGCAGGGCATCATATGACGGTGCCACGTTGAAAGTCACTGAGCTCTTCAGTAAGGCCATTCTTGTCTGTGGAGATTGCATGGCGGTGTGCTCAATTTTATACACCTGTCAGCAACGGGTGTGGCTGAAATAGCTAAATATACTTTTGTATATATAGTGTATCTACCTTAAATACCCTATGTAACAGTATGCAAATCTCTACCGATAATCCATCACATCATATTTACAGTATGTATGCTTATTTCATGATAGTCATTTAACTACTGTGTAGAGTATAGTCTATTGACAATATGAAATATTCCTTTTCATGTTCTCTATATTCTTGAATGACTCAATGGGCCGCTGACATACATTTTCACAATACAAAGACTATGACATTGTGTCAGTGGTGAACCAGGAGGGCTTAGTGCAGCAGAATAAAGATAAACTAGCGGGGTGAATAGCAGCACCACAAATACACTCATGTGAGTCACATGAAAGTAAATTTTTCTGAAAGGAACTATCAATGTCTGTTATATGTGAAACAAATGTTTATAAATGGCTTTGTCTTACAGAGTCATATGTTTTGAGAATAATTGACTGGAAGCTGAGACAATGTCATGGAGGGGCTGTGGTTACTCAAGGCATTCATTTATGTGGTCACACACAAGCATGCACACATAGGTACGTACGCACTTTCTCTCACACACACACACACACACACACACATGCAGACTATACAAGGTGTGCACAGACAAAGATACAAATATACACATACATTATATTAGCAAACAGGTGCAGTTCAAATGATAAAAGATCTTTCTTCCTAAAAAGGAATAAGAAGGCGTAATTACATGAACCTGACTGGCACCAAAACTCAGTTAATTCTGTGCTTTCATATCACCTCAGATATGTAGTTACAATAGAAGTATATAACCACATCACTGTCTGCCAAATCTGCAACACAATCCTGGAAACTCTGTGAAAAATCACAAAAGTAGTTTGCACAACGACACTATTAGGGGTGTTAATTGATGCCCACTTCTGCAGTTACATCTGTCGGTGTGGTGTGGGGATAGTGCTTTAGGTAGTGTGTCCTCAACTCATGGAAGCACTGTTGTGCAGAATATATCTGGTGAATACTTTCTTCAGTAGCCTGTATTCTTTTGTATGAGAGGACTGCCCCCCTGTGGCAATGTCTGACCTGCACTATTCAAGACAATTCAAACCAAACCTGCATTGCTGTATCTCCACAGTACTGTAGCTCTTTTTCCCATGGTCAAATAAAATCAAAGAATGAACAATGTAAAAACCTTGTACTACTAACTACTACTACCAAGTAGACTCCCTTTCACGGGTAAACACATTTACTTTTCAGAATAAGAAGTGTTTGTGCACAGGCATGCAGTAATTTGTATAAAGACACTGAACACATTGCTACGGTATTATGAAAACTGACCGTATTATCCATTTTACATTTTACATTTTAGTCATTTAGCAGACGCTCTTAACCAGAGCGACTTACAGGAGCAATTAGGGTTAAGTGCCTTGCTCAAGGGCACAATAACGTCATTTAGCAGACGCTCTTAGCCAGAGCGACTCGCAAATTGGTGCGTTCACCCTATAGCCAGTGGGATAACCACTTTACAATTTGGGGGGGGGGGGGGGGGGGGGGGGGGGGGTGGGTTAGAAGGAATACTTTAGCCTATCCAAGGATTATGGCCCATAATACTTATAGTATAACCTCTGACTGTATTCAAATGACATTGATATCAAACATCATTTGCAGTAGGCTACACAGAGTACTTAGGAAAATAGCAATGAATGACTGAAACATTTGTATGTAGCCTACTGCATCTTCTAATCTTTCAAAGACATCTCTGAGACCTTTTCTTAAATGTACAAGGTACAATACAGTCATATGTGACATTATGTCATCAGTTCAAAGATGTGACTTTCCCCTAGTACTCTGTTTTCGTACTTTCTTTACAGTGAGTGAGCCAGGTTCAATGGTCGCCATTGGTGTTGGCTAATGGGGATCCGAATCAAATCAAATCCAATCAAATGGTGTGCCCTTTAACCAATTGGACACAGGGTCAACCTAAAGTATTATGGGCTGGACTAAACCTAAAGCATTATGCTCTGGACTAAATTGCATTTGAATCATGACTAATCATAATTTGCCTTAGTCATACACACAATTTAGCCTAACTTATTCCTGGACCACTGTATGGTTAATGTTCATTTTAAAAGCAACGGTTGTTAATCTTAATTTTAAGTAATAGACCAAAGGCATGTTTTAACCATGCAAGGTTCATGAAATCAAATGTGTAGTTATTGCCAAAAAAATGTCTGAATTAAACCTATGCCATGATTTATTTAATCTGGGTTTGGCTAATGGAGGCAAACATTATCTTTAAAACAAGTTTATTTTTTATATTCTAACTAACTCCATAATGATGTGCATGTTGAACTAGTGACCATTTCTTAATACAGAACGGGAAGCCAACACATGAAAGCCTTATGTAAATATAGGGGTGTTACGCTGCATGCTAGAACCTGTGAACTTTGAACAAGAGAGCACAGATTAGTTGTGGCAGCATAGGTTAGGTTACTCCAGCTCAAAGCCACAGCCAGATGACTGCTTTCACTGGGATGTGAGGTGAAGAACTTCTGTTTGGGAGGTTGGCCAAACATCACTTTGGATTTTAGGCTCCTTGCAGAGAGATCTTTTTGGTAAGTGTTTATGTGAAGCAACATTTCTAGTTGAAAGTAACAGATTTAAGTAGTGGAATATGGGAATAGTTAAGCCTGTTGTTAAAACAGTTGCTGAGTACCTAGTGTTGAATACATGGCATCATCAGACTTACATTTTCAAATTAACTAATTTTAACTCATATCTACAGTATGTATACAGAGAACTATAGAAGAGCTATAAACGTATATAGAACTACAAACTTGACTTGATTCAATAGCCTTAATACAACATAAATGTCTAATATGTTCACATCTCAAGAAGCATCCTCCAAACACTTTTGTAGTTCTACAAATCCAAATAAAACTCAGCATCTGTAAAAACGGCTAGCAGGACCATGTAAAAACGGCTAGCTGGAGCTCGTCTGAGCAGTCGGCTGTGAATGCCCTCAACCGCTATTAACACGATGTTGAGGCCCATTACACTTTTAATTGTCAGCACCACAAACACACACATATACACAGCTGCTTCCATTGAAGGTAGTTCTTTAAAATGCAAATTAACTACTTAAAAATCATACAATGTGATTTTCTGGATTTTTGTTTTAGATTCCGTCTCTCACAGTTGAAGTGTACCTATGATAAAAATTACAGACCTCTACATGCTTTGTAAGTAGGAAAACCTGCAAAATCGGCAGTGTATCAAATACTTGTTCTCCCCACTGTAACTCTCTCCCAACACAAGTTCCTTCCCAGTTCCCACCTTTAATTTTTTTAGTTCCCAAGGGAAAGGTTTGGAAACTAAAAAAAACTAAAAACATACACCTCAAATATACATTAACACACAGAAACAGCAAATCCTCCATCTAATTAATCTCATACGCCTAATAGTACTGTAGAGATCTTTTTACTTGCACACACTATAGCTGGATTGCCCCATCCTGTCCCTAGGGGTCCACCACCCTGCAGCACCCCAACCCAACACACCCCACTCAACTTTAGGATCTTAGTGAAACATTCATTATTGGTTTCGGATGTGTTAGGCCAAGGCCAGAGTGACAACCCACAGGACGGCAGACCCCCAGAGCCAGGACTGAGCAGCCCAGCAGCTAGGGATTGCCTAAATAGGTATCTCCCCTGACCTGAGCATGTTTTCAATACAGACTCCTTTAGTCGTACTGTATTCCATATAAGGCATCCAGACCTTATGAAAGTTGCCCAGTATACCCTTAATCTGGTAATAAATCAAAGCTAGTGATATATAAATTGACATTGTGGGAGCTAGTGATATATAAATTGACCTTCCAATTAATGGCATTGCATTTCTTAGCCGCTATAAATGCTTGGTTACACAGTTACTTCAGATAGCAGTCTCCAGCGTCAACATTTCCAAGCAAACAAAAATAGGGAGAAGGGAGAATCTATAGACATGCTGAGATAAAAGAACATACTTATTGGTGTGCCAGAATTCAGTAAGCCTTCACAAGACCATAACATATGCAAATACGTCCCCTTTTGTGTTTTACACCTCCAGCAGAGGAATGACATTTCTGAGTGCATGTAATTCAGTTTCAATGGCATATAATACGTTCTATGGATGGTCTTAAACTGCAGTAGTTTATGTCTGAAATGATAAGAACATGACTGGGCATTCAAACTGTGAGAATGTGATTTGAAGGAGTCAGACGCAGGAGGGTAAATCACAGAATACAGAGTTTATTCCGTAGAACAAAGTTACGCTGGATAGTTTAGTTTTGATCTGTTAAGTGAAACAGCAGTTACCTTGCCAGCTATATCAGTCAACTAAAGAGTAGCCAGTTTCTGCTCTGCTTCCCTTTACAACTCAGTGAAAGAGCTCAACACATACACACTGAACTATGCTCAACTCTCCCTTGCTGGTCCAGCCAGCCTTCCAGAAGCTTTGCCTTCACACAGCCCGTCAACCCGCTCTGTTGTGTCCACGTGGTCCTAAATCCAGCGGGCTGAACACTCCAAACAGCCTACCCGACCGCTCTGAGGTGTCCGCATGGTCCTAAAGCACACCAGTCGCCACTTTTTGTATCACATTGTAATGATAAAACTGGGAGGGACAAAAATGCCATTTCAGAATGTGGGGGAGACATAACCCTGTCCCCAGTGAACGTTGTGCCCCTGGTTCTTTATGTGTGGTAATCCGAATGACTTCTTATTGGTGTGGTTCTATAAATCAAAGATATGCACACATGTAAACAGTATTAGTTAAGGGTTATAACTATGCAATATACATATGTACATGAATAAATGGCAAATGGCAATACACTTACAACACGTCTATAAAGGGCTATAAACACAGCATCAATATAAACATAAACCTAAACATTAACCTCTTGGAGATAAATTAATTACTTGGATTGACAAAGGGACAAGATTTATGGCACCCTCTCTCTCTCCGGAATGGTATGAGAATCTGCCGGGCTGAGATCTTATCTGATCTGCCCTTGTGCCACAGAGTAGTAAATTACTCTGCGCATGAGCAAACTCTAAAAACCATCTGGGATGACTCCAATAGTTCGCCCATGGCAGCGCAAAAAACACCTTAACAAAGGCCACTATGGAAAACGCTGCTGTAGCGTGTACATACAAAAAACTATGTTTACTAATACAACAATTAAACAACTTCTGTAAAAATACTTGTGCAACCAATGCAATAATAACACTTATGGCAATACTGAATAATACTACATACGATAAACAATACGCAAAGCAGTATTGGCAACTCTAACATTAAGTAATAGTAACAGCCATAGAGGAGAACATATGGCTGAAACTTATCAAAGTAACTTTAAGTAATTCATGGTACTTACCTATTATTACATCGAATGTAAAACCTTCAATAAAGAGACGTTGTTGGAGTAACTTCCATCCACTACAGAGTCTGACCCTTACATAACATGAGCATGAAGCCTGGTCCAGATGTAGAGAGAACTTGCACACCTTTATAGTAATGTGCCTGAAGGATTGAGTCAATTTGGGAATGACTGGTACAATTGTGATAGCATTGGAAGACTTCATAGCAATAAACAGTGTCTCTACGTTTTCAATTGTCGGTTGCTTATTTATTTACATGTAGGTGTAAAGGTTTTTTATTATCTTTTTGATTCATGTAAGCAGTACACTGCGTTTGTGTTTCAGTAAAGGTTCTGTAAGTCTACTGTAATTTACTGGCTTCTGTGCTGCCAGTAATTTATTGTAAATGTACAGCAACCTACTGGCTACTGTGCTGCCAGTAAATTATTGTAAAAATTACAGGAAATGTTTTACAGTGTACATGTAATACACTTTGTTCAGGTATCAGTACTCTTGTTGATTTGTGCCAGTACTGTTGGTCTAAGTCTGCTTCTGGTGGAACACCTAGGCTAATTCTCTCTGTGAAGATCAATAATGTACTGTATTATTCATTTGTTAATCAGGTATATTCAAGTAAATTATACTGAATAAAAATATAAACGCAACATGCAACAATTTCAATGGTTATACTGAGTTACAGTTCATATAAGGAAATCACTCAATTGAAATAAATAAATTAGGCCCTAATCTATGGATTTCACATGACTGGGCAGGGGAGCACCAATGGGTTGGCTTGGGATGGCATAGGCCAGGGCCAGCCAATCACAATGAGTTTTTCCCCACAAAAGGGCTTTATTACAGACATAAATACTCCTCAGCATGCCAATTGCACGCTCTCTTAAAACTTGAGACATCTGTGGCATTGTGTTGTGTGACAAAACTGCACATTTTAGTGGCCTTTTATTGTCCCCAGCACAAGGTGCACCTGTGTAATCACCAACACATTACATGTTGCGTTTATATATTTTTTCAGTACAAGCTAATCACTACAATATAAGAGGGTTTACAAATAATTACATTTTTCGCTGTAATTTCGAGTAATTTTGAAAGAATTGGTGTGTTTGAGAATAACAGGCAACCAACTAGAACCTATTTTATAGGAAAAAAGAGATGTAGTTTATCTTTAACTAACTACTCTTCCCTTGTATCTTCTATCAAAGGATTCACCTTAGAATGCATCAACCAGCCCTGGTCGCGGTTGCTGTGCTGCTCTTCTCTCTGACCACTGTCTATGGGGGGAAGGTGCTGGTCTTCCCATTGGATGGAAGCCACTGGGTGAACATGAAAGTCATCGTCGAAGAACTGCACTCCAGAGGCCATAGCATCACAGTGATTCGTCCATCCGCCAACTGGTACATCAAGGAGAAGTCCCCTCATTACTCGTGTATCACCATCCCTGCATCTGGTGGAGGAATTGATGAGAAGATCTTTAGTTCATTTGTGACCAGATTACTGCAGATCAAAAGGGAGGGTGGAGGTTTCTGGTCTCGTATGAGTCTGGAGCTTGAGGTGGGGAAGCAGTTCTATGAGTCAAACAAGGATTTGATTGAGATGATGACTATGATATTTGAAGATGCCGAGCTAATGCAATCGTTCCACGATGCAAACTATGATCTGGTTCTGACGGATCCTGCCACTGGTGCGGGCACGTTACTGGCACACCGCCTTGGTCTTCCTCTTGTCTTCAATGTCAGATGGACAATCCAGGGCGAGGGTCACTTTGCCATTGCTCCCTCACCTCTCTCATATGTCCCAGTACCAGGAGCAATGTTGACGGACAAAATGACTTTTCAGGAGAGAGTCATAAATATTCTGTTTTATCTTTTTACAAGGGTTCAAATGGCATACGTCACAGACCTTAACTACATTCCGTTTGTCCGTCGTTACTTTGGCCCTGATGTTCACTACATGTCATTGCTCCAGGCAGCAGACATCTGGCTCATGAGGAATGACTTCACCTTTGAGTTTCCTCGTCCCACCATGCCAAACGTGGTCTACATGGGTGGCTTCCAGTGCAAGCCCTCCAAGCCGCTTCCCCAGGACATGGAGGACTTTGTCCAGAGCTCCGGGGACCATGGGGTCATCATGATGTCCCTGGGGACCTTGGTGGGACAACTTCCTGAGGACATCACTGAGGACATCGCCACTGCTTTCGCCCAACTGCCTCAGAGGGTTATCTGGAGGCACACTGGAAAGAGACCCGCCTCCCTGGGTAACAACACCTTACTGGTGGACTGGTTCCCCCAGAACGACCTCCTGGGACACCCCAAGACCCAAGCCTTCGTCGCCCACGGAGGCACCAACGGAGTCCAGGAGGCCATCTACCACGGTGTCCCCATAGTCGGCCTCCCGTTGATGTTTGACCAGCAGGATAACCTCAACAGGATGAGGGCTAAGGGAGTGGCTAAGATAGTGGACATCGCCTCCGTAGACAAAGACATCTTCCTGGAGGCAGTGAAAGCTGTTCTCTATGAGCCGTCCTACAGGAAGGCAATGCAGAGGCTCTCCAGGCTGCACAGGGACCAGCCTATGAAGCCACTGGACCGCGCCATGTTCTGGATCGAGTTTGTCATGAGGAACAAAGGAGCGGCACATCTGAGGACAGAGTCCTACAAGATGTCTTGGTTCACCTACCACTCTGTGGACGTCATAGCCACGCTATTGGCCATTGTGTTGCTCATAATACTGGTTAGCACTTTTGTTGTAAGGTTTTTGTGGCGTAAGGTGTTTTGTTGGAGGAAAGTGAAACATGAATGATATAGATGTGTTTTGAGGTGTTATTGAATATTGATATATTATTAAATTATCAATAAATATATAATTAATCAAATATTGTAATTATTATTTGCTGATATTCTTCTAAAACCATCCTTTCAGCAACATCAAGAAGGCCATAATAATTTATGCTGGTATTTGAAACAATACAGTAGGTTCTTTTTGGTAATATACAGTACCAGTCAAAAGTTTGGACACACCTACTCATTCAAGTACATTGTAGAATAATAGTGAAGACATCAAAACTATGAAATAACACATATGGAATCATGTAGTAACCAAAAAAGAGTTAAACAAATATATTTTATATTTGAGATTCTTCAAATAGCCACCCTTTGCCTTGATGACAGCTTTGCACACTCTTGGCATTCTCTCAACAAGCTTCACCTGGAATGCTTTTCCAATAGACTTGAAGGAGTTCCCACATATGCTGAGCACTTGTTGGCTGCTTTTCCTTCACTCTGCCATCCGACTCATCCCAAACCATCTCAATTGGGTTGAGGTTGAGGGATTGTGGAGGCCAGGTCATCTGATGCAGCACTCCATCACTCTCCTTCTTGGTCAAATAGCCCTTACACAGCCTGGAGGTGTGTTGGGTCGTTGTCCTGTTGAAAAACAAATGATAGTCCAACTAAGCCCAAACCAGATGGGATGGCGTATCGCTGCAGAATGATGTGGTAGCCATGCTGCTTAAGTGTGTCTTGAATTCTCAATAAATCACAGACAGTGTCACCAGCAAAGCACCCCCACAACGTAACACCTCCTCCTCCATGCTTTACGGTGGGAAATACACATGCAGAGATCCTCCGTTCACCCACACCGCGTCTCACAAAGACACAGCGGTTTGAAATCTCTAATTTGAAATCCAGACCAAAGGACACATTTCCACCGGTCTAATGTCCATTGCTCGTGTTTCTTGGCCCAAGCAGGTCTCTTCTTCTTATTGGTGTCCTTTGAAGTGGTTTCTTTGCAGCAATTCGACCATGAAGGCCTGATTCACACAGTCCCCTCTGAACAGTTGATGTTGAGATGTGTCTGTGACTTGAACTCTGTGAAGCATTTATTTGGGCTGCAATTTCTGAGGCTGGTAACTCTAATGAATTTATCCTCTGCAGCAGAGGTAACTCTGGGTCTTCTATTCCTGTGGCAGTCCTCATGAGAGCCAGTTTCATCATAGCGCTTGATTGTTTTTGCGACTGCACTTGAAGAAACTTGACATTTTCTGTATTGACTGACCTTCATGTCTTAAAGTAATGATGGACTGTGGTTTCTCTTTGCTGATTTGAGCTGTTCTTGCCATAATATGGACTTTTACCAAATAGGGCTATCTTCTGTATACCCCCCTACCTTGTCACAACACATTTACATTTACATTTAAGTCATTTAGCAGACGCTCCTATCCAGAGCGACTTACAAATTGGTGCATTCAATTTAGGATAGCCAGTGGGACAACCACCACTGGGGGAGGGGGGTGTAGAAGGATTACTGTTAGACTATTCCAGTTATTCCTTAAAGAGGTAGGGTTTCAAGTGTCTCCGGAAGGTGGTCAGTGACTCCGCTGTCCTGGCGTCGTGGGGGAGCTTGTTCCACCATTGGGGTGCCAGAGCAGCGAATAGCTTTGACTGGGCTGAGCGGGAACTGTGCTTCCGTAGAGGTAGGGGGGCTAGCACGCCAGAGGTGGATGAACGTAGTGCCCTCATTTGGGTGTAGGGTCTGATCAGAGCCTGAAGGTAAGGAGGTGCCGTTCCCCTCACAGCTCTGTAGGCAAGCACCACGGTTTTGTAGTAGATGCGAGCTTCAACTGGAAGCCAGTGGAGTGTGCGGAGGAGCGGGGTGACATGAGAGAACTTGGGAAGGTTGAACACCAGACGGGCTGCAACGTTCTGGGTAAGTTGTAGGGGTTTAATGGCACAGGCAGGGAGCCCAGCCAACAGCGAGTTGCAGTAATCCAGACGGGAGATGACAGGTGCCTGGATTAGGACCTGTGCCGCTTTCTGTGTAAGGTAGGGTCGTACTCTGCAAATATTGTAGAGCATGAACCTGCAGGATCGGGTCACCCCTTTGATGTTAGCGGAGAACGACAGGGTGTTGTCCAGGGTCACGTCAAGGTTCTTTGCACTCTGGGAGGAGGGCACAATGGAGTTGTCAACCGTGATGATCATGGAGCGGGCAGTCCTTCCCCGGGAGGAAGAGCAGCTCCGTCTTGCCGAGGTTCAGCTTGAGGTGGTGATCCAACATCCACACTGATATGTCTGCCAGACATGCAGAGATGTGATGTGCCACCTGTTTATCAGAAGGGGGAAAGGAGAAAATGAATTGTGTGTCGTCTGCGTAGCAATGATAGGAGAGACCATGTGAGGATATGACAGAGCCAAGTGACTTGGTGTATAGAGAGAATAGGAGAGGGCCTAGAACTGAGCCCTGGGGGACACCAGTGGGGAGAGCACGTGGTGCGGAGACAGATTCTCGCCACGCCACCTGGTAGGAGCGACCTGTTAGGTAGGACGCAATCCAAGAGTGAGCAGCGCCGGAGATGCCCAACTCAGAGAGGGTGGAGAGGAGGATCTGATGGTTCACAGTATCAAAGGCAGCAGATAGGTCTAGAAGGATAAGTGCAGAGGAGAGAGAGTTAGCTTTAGCAGTGCGGAGAGCCTCCGTGACACAGAGAAGAGCAGTCTCAGTTGAATGACCAGTCTTGAAACCTGACTGGTTTGGATCAAGAAGGTCATTCTGAGAGAGATAGCAGGAGAGTTGGCTAGAGACGGCAAGCTCAAGAGTTTTGGAGAGAAAAGAAAGAAGGGATACTGGTCTGTAGTTGTTGACATCGAAGGGATCGCGTGTAGGTTTTTTGAGGAGGGGTGCAACTCTCGCTCTCTTGAAGACGGAAGGGATATAGCCAGCGGTCAAGGATGAGTTGATGAGCGAGGTGAGGTAAGGGAGAAGGTCTCCGGAAATGGTCTGGAGAAGAGAGGAGGGGATAGGGTCAAGCGGGCAGGTTGTTGGGCGGCCGGCCGTCACAAGTCGCAAGATTTCATCTGGAGAGAGAGGGGAGAAAGAAGTCAAAGCATAGGGTAGGGCAGTGTGAGCAGGACCAGCGGTGTCATTTGACTTAATAAATGAGGATCGGATGTCGTTAACCTTCTTTTCAAAATGGTTGACGAAGTTATCCACAGAGAGGGAGGAGGGAGGGGGAGGAGGAGGAGGATTCAGCAGGGAGGAGAAGGTGGCAAAGAGCTTCCTAGGGTTAGAGGCAGAGGCTTGAAATGTAGAGTGGTGGAAAGTGGCTTTAGCAGCAGAAACAGAGGAAGAAAATGTAGAGAGGAGGGAGTGAAAAGATGACAGGTCCGCAGGGAGTCTAGTTTTCCTCCATTTCCACTCGGCTGCCCGGAGCCCTGTTCTGTGAGCTCGCAATGAGTCGTCAAGCCATGGAGCAGGAGGGGCGGACAGAGCCAGCGGGAGGATAGGGGACTTAGAGAGTCAAAAGATCCAGAAAGGGAGGAGAGGAGGGTTGAGGAGGCAGAATCAGGAGATCAGAGGGAGAAGTATTTAGCAGAGGGAAGAGATGATAGGATGGAAGAGGAGAGAGTAGCGGGAGAGAGAGAGCGAAGGTTGCGACGGCACATTACCATCTGAGTAGGTGGCAGAGTGAGTAGTGTTGAAGGAGAGCGAGAGAGAAAATAATACAAAGTAGTGGTCGGAGACTTGGAGGGGAGTTGCAGTGAGATTAGTAGAAGAACAGCATCTAGTACAGATGAGGTCAAGCGTATTGCCTGCCCTGTGAGTAGGGGGGGACAGTGAGAGGGTGAGGTCAAAAGAGGAAAGGAGTGGAAAGAAGGAGGCAGAGAGAAATGAGTCAAAGGCAGACATAGGGAGGTTAAAGTTACCCAGAACTGTGACGGGTGAGCCATCCTCAGGAAAGAAACTCATCAAGGCGTCAAGCTCATTGATGAAGTCGCCAAGGGAACCTGGAGGGCGAAAAATGATAAGGATGTTAAGCTTGAATGGGCTAGTGACTGTGACAGCATGGAATTCAAATGAGGAGATAGACAGATGGGTCAGGGGGAAAAGAGAGAATGTCCACTTGGGAGAGATGAGGTTTCCTGTGCCACCACCGCGCTGACCAGATGCTCTCGGGGTATGCGAGAACACATGATCAGACGAGGAAAGAGCAGTAGGAGTAGCAGTGTTTTCTGTGGTAATCCATGTTTCCGTCAGCGCCAAGAAGTCGAGGGACTGGAGGGTAGCATAGGCTGAGATGAACTCTGCCTTGTTGGCTGCAGAACGGCAGTTCCAGAGGCTGCCGGAGACCTGGAACTCCACATGGGTAGTGCGCACAGGGACCACCAGATTAGAGTGGCAGCAGCCACACGGTGTGAAGTGTTTGTATGGCCTGTGCAGAGAGGAGAGAACAGGGATAGACAGACACATAGTTGACAGGCTACAGAAAAGGCTACAATAATGCAAAAGAGATCTGAATAAAATTAACTAAACATCTGGAGAGCGGGGCCTCCCTCACCTACCTTTCACTGAAACACTCAAATATAACTCTCCCAACTTCCACTTTAGAAATTATAATTGTTGTAAACTACAGCGGTTCAATGTTTTCTAGGAATAGACTCTAACTTAGTTTATTCAGCTAGCTAACTTGGTACAGTATTCTTCCGTGAAAACCGCCCAGGGCACCGTATCCTATGACGCCATAGCTAACTAGCATGCTAGCATCCAACAACACACGGTTTAGCACCAATACTTGGTTACAACAAACTACCAATAGTATGTTAACACACTAAACAGATCATTCGTGTCCATGTCTAGTTCCTTTCATAACGCAGAAATAATTAAACGTTGGCTAGCTAGCACAAAGTCAGTCATGCTAACTACACAAGTGGACTACACATCTCGAATGTTCAGAAAGTGAAGCTTTACGTTGCAAAATTCTCATTGACTAAAATGATATTGTATTTAGTTGCTACAGTACTGCTAGCTGGTAGTGTTGGCTAGCTAGCAATGGCTGCGGTGTTGACTTTGTTTGAAAAAACGGCATCGCTGCGAACGAATGTAGCTGGCTAAAATTATATTGTATTTAGTTGCTACAGTACTACTAGCTGGTAGTGTTGGCTAGCTAGCAATGGCTGCGGTGTTGACTTTGTTTGAAAAAACGGCGTCGCTGCGAATGAATGTAGCTGGCTAGCTAACCTCGATAGTTTTTTCTATACTACACCTTTATCTTTGATACAAAGACAACTATGTAGCTAGCTAACATTACACTAATCAAATCGTTCCATTGTAATGTAATGTGTGTCATATTACCTGCGGAGCGAAGTACAGCATGACTACTCACTCCAGGAGCCACCCTCGAACACGGCCATTAACGCTCAAACGCATTAAGAAGGAAATAAATTAACTTTTAAGAAGGCACACCTGTTAATTGAAATGCATTCCAGGTGACTCCCTCATGAAGCTGGTTGAGAGAATGCCAAGAGTGTGCAAAGCTGTCATCAAGGCAAATGGTGGCTATTTGAAGAATTTAAAATATTAAAATATATTTTGATTTGTTTAACACTTCTTTGGTTACTACATGATTCCATATGTGTTATTTCATAGTTTTGATGTCTCACTATTATTCTACAATATAGAAAATAGTAAAAATAAAGAAAAACCTTTGAATGAGTAGGTGTGTCCAAACTTTTGACTGGTGGTGTATCTTTGCATTAAATTTTTTAAATGTCACCCTCACATTAAGTATTGTGCTCCAAATATAATATTACCTTATGTTGTAAATGTTGTACTACAGCACAAAAACTGACTTGAGTTGTGTGGTTGAGAGAGAGCGATAGAGGGGTCTCTATGATAGGTGAGAAGGGCTGATTAAACTCCTGGATCTGATTGTAGCTATTACATTTGTGTGTGTGTGTGTGTGTGTGTGTGTGTGTGTGTGTGTCCAGAGCAGGTGAGCCTCACCCAATGATTTATATTACAGTACACTAGATGACTGACAGGTGCCACTGTTTTGAAGCCACCGTGCCTCCATCTTGGCACTACCACACCGTTCCCAAAAATATTTTGGAAGCTATAGAAATGCAGTTACTAAAGTCTACATTTGTTTTGCCACATTATTCTATTACAGACACAATGCATACTTTTAAATTATATTATTTGCGCTAAACATTTAAAAATATATATATATAAAAACATTTTCCTTAAAGTATATACATATATTTTTTGAAAGTACTAATTTTACTGTCCCCACTACAGAAAAAAACTACTAATTTTGTCCTTGAAACATTTAAATGAAATACTGTAGAATTCCATTCATTCCTATGGAAGACTGCTTTTCGGAGGAGTGCCAATATGGCCGACCGGTGGCTACAAAGCCTTTGGACATGTTTTGGAAAGGCACACACCTGTCTATATAAGGTCCCACATTTGACAGTGCATGTCAGAGCAAAAACCAAGCCATGAGGTCGAAGGAATTGTCCGTAGAGCTCAGATACAGGATTTTGTCGAGGCACAGATCTGGGGAAGGGTTCCAAAAAATGTCTGCAGCATTGAAGGTCCCCAAGAACACAGTGGCCTCCATCATTCTTAAAAGGAAGAAGTTTGGAACCACCAAGACTCTTCCTAGAGCGAGCTGCCCGGCCAAACTGAGCAATCGGGGGAGAAGGGCCTTAGTCAGGGAGGTGACCAAGAACCCGATGGTCACTCAGACAGAGCTCCAGAGTTCCTCTGTGGAAATGGGAAAACCTTCCAGAAGGGCAACCATCTCTGCAGCACTCCACCAATCAGGCCTTTATGGTAGAGTGGCCAGACGGAAGCCACTCCTCAGTAAAAGGCACATGACAGCCCGCTTAGAGTTTTCCAAAAGGCACCTAAAGGACTCAGACCATGAGAAACAAGATTCTCTGGTCTGATGAAACCAAGATTCAACTCTTTGGTCTGAATACCAAGCGTCATGTCTGGAGGAAACCTGGCACCATCCCTACGGTGAAGCATGGTGGTGGCAGCATCATGCTGTGGGGATGTTATTCAGCGGCAGGGACTGGGACACTAGTCAGGATTGAGGGAATGATGAATGGAGCAAAGTACAGAGAGATACTTGATGAAAACCTGCTCCATAGCACTCAGGACCTCAGACTGGGGGCGATGGTTCACCTTCCAACAGGACAACAACCCAAAACATACAGCTAATACAACGCAGGAGTGGCTTCGGGTCAAGTCTCTAAATGTCCTTAAGTGGCCCAGCCAGAGCCAGGACTCATTATGGGGTATTGTGTGTAGATTGATGAGGGGGGGAAAAACAATTCAGTCCATTTTAGAATAAGGCTGTAAGGTAACAAAATGTGGAAAAAGTCAAGGGGTCTGAATACTTTCGAATGCACTGCAGTGTTCTAGAATATTGGATTGTTGGCTTACATACTGTTCGAATTCTCAGTGCAGCTCAAGCAATTTCTCTGACTGTCAATATATTCAAATGAATAGACCAATACAGGAGATGGGTTGGTTGGGAATTGTGGGGAGGTGTGAGTCAGGCTGTGCATCCCTCTCTCAGAGCCGCGTAGCTATGTCACAATGGGACGTCGGACTATCGGGCCTCAGCGTCTGTGGACTATGATTTATGCTTTAGGTCCATGGGACCACTCACTCAGCGTTAGTCTGACCACCAGCTGAAATGGCTCTCTACCGCTTTAAAAAGTCATCCCTCTGTAGATCGCTCTAGCTGAGAGAGTGGCGCCCCTCCCTACTCTTCCGCACTGTAGGCAATCTGCAATTTTTCAAGACGATTCTAGATTGAAAAGTAGATCCATCTAAACCGATTTTACCGAGAGAAAACCATATTTCGAGGAGGGGTTTTCCTATTAGCAATATACGATAGGTGAATACGTTTTCTCTAGTGCTGAAATGTAGTAATGCCGTTGTCTTTACATTCGGGAAACAGTGGTGAAATATGGCCACTGTTTTAGAGCAGCATCTAGATTACCGTGAAGAAAAAGAACACTGAGTAGACAGAATTTGATTTTGCTAGGTCGTTTCACTAAAACAATGAATGACGATTAACTGTGTTTCTGTTAGATTTTTCTCCAAAGGGACTAACATTTTTTCTTAATGTTTATCAAACATCAGTTTGTCTTCCAACGAATAGGCTCAGCGGTTTTCAGTGTCTATCGTCTCTCTTCTAGTCTGGCTGACACCAGCTCTCGAAGGGTCGCGCGTCAACCAGGCTGTCTCTCCTCTCCACAGCAGCCTTATAATAGGCCTAATAATAATCCTAATATTACCACGTGAGATTGGAGATTTTTATATTGTTTTAGTACCTGATATGGTGGAGTTTTCATATTGATCTCTTATAATTACTGCATTATTATTGATAAATTATCTATTTTGTAATAAGAAATAATATAACATGTTATGTCATGATTTTATATTTATTTTCTCAAGTTTGGGACTGCTGTATTAGTATTGAGTAATTGTGCACTTCTTCACATGACACTGCTAGTCATTGCTCAGAAATCTAAATAAAAGTTGCACTCCTCCTCATGCTTTGAGCCTTAATAATGTCTTATGAGCCTTTATGACATATTCAACTGGCTCAAACTGGCTGTTATTAAGTCAGGATCATTCTGATAATAATACATTATAAGGGGGTCATATGCTTATGACAAGTCTTAAAATGCTTTTAAACCGCATCATATTCCATATAACTGTTATCAAATGTATTGCCATTGTGTCTACTCCCTTCCACCAGGCCTGCAGGCAGCTGCAGTAAGCCACCATGTCCATGGCCCAGCAGCAGAACCAGGTGATCCTCCAGTTCCACTTCAGAACCTTTGGAGACTCCATGCTGCAGAAGATGAACCTGCTCCGCCACCAGAGCCGATTCTGTGACGTCACTGTGCGCATCAATGACCTGGAGGTGCGCATCCATCAATCACATCCATTTTCACTTATTAAGCATTCTATGCTGCTTTTACTGTTTACCATGTTTTTTAAATCTATTTAATCTATTTTGATTATTTTATTATGCACATCACTTGAGTTGCAGTCTCTGTATGAATTGTGCTATACAAATAATGTTTTTCTATCAATATTATGATTAGGTCCCCGGTCACAAGGTGGTGTTGGCAGCCGGTTCTTCCTTCCTCCGGGACCAGTTCTTCCTGCAGGATTCATCCATGAGGGAGGTCCAGATCTCCATGACCCAGGAGGCGGAGGTGGGCCAGCAGCTGCTGCTGTCCTGCTACACGGGAACCCTGGAGCTGCCTGAGATAGAGCTGGTCAAATACCTAACTGTGGCCAGCTTCCTCCAGATGGGCCACGTAGTGGAGCAGTGCACCCAGGCCCTCAAGAAGTTCATCCAGCCGCGACCCTGCCAGGTGAAACAGCAGCATCGGGAGGAGGAGGGAGATGGAGAGACTCTCAGAGCCTCTCACGCCCAGAGAGTACATGAGCTGCCCCAAGCACAGGTAGTGCATCGTGAGGTGGAGGAGGATGATGAAGACGATGATGATGTGACAATTCAGCTGATGACCCCTCCCCAAAGGCAGAAGCGAGACAGGAGTGAGGGCGAGGAGAGCCCCATCACCATCGTAAAGGTGGAGTCCGTGTGTGAGCGGGTGTCTGAGATGTCTGAACTTCCCTCTGCCTCCACTGCAGTGCGCTTCCCCACCAGCCCCCCATTGTCGTTACACTCCCCTGAGCCCCAGCACTCCCTCATCAACTCCACCGTGGACACCCGGGCTAGCGAAATGACCATGCCACCCTTGCCAGGATACCCACTCAGCCCCCCTCCACTACCCACCTCAGCCACAGGGAGACCCAATCTGGGGGGGCACCTACGAAACTCAGACAAATCCCTTCAGTGGTACCACCAGTGCCCAAAGTGTGCCCGCGTGTTCCGCCAGCTAGAGAACTATGCCAACCACCTCAAGATGCACAAGCTGTTCATGTGCCTGCTGTGTGGCAAGATGTTCACCCAGAAGGGTAACCTGCACCGGCACATGCGGGTCCACGCTGGCATCAAGCCCTTCCAATGCAAGATCTGTGGCAAGACCTTCACTCAGAAATGCTCTCTCCTGGACCACCTGAACTTACACAGCGGAGACAAGCCCCATCGCTGTAACTACTGCGACATGGTGTTTGCACACAAGCCCGTGCTCCGCAAACACCTCAAACAAATCCACGGCAAGAACAGCTTTGACAACGCCAACGAGAGGAGCCAACTACACGACGGGGTTCTGGACTTTGAGTCTGCAGGACTGTAGCATGGACAATAAGCCTGTTCTTATGGGTGACTCTCTGTAGCACTGTATCGCGTTCCATTCCAGTCATAAATTAATAGCTGCGTAGTAGTGTTAACTGAATTGTAAACCACATTGTAAGGTACTTGAAGGTACAAGACTGAATATTAGAAGAAGAGTTACTGTAAAATGAGTACTAAAAATATAAACTGAAATGATTTGTCCTCATGAGGATTGTTTTGGCTAAGGAAGCCTACAGTAGAACAAAAGTGATGACAGTGTGTCTGTAGCACATAATATGTTATGATGCCTGTTTTGGAAATGGGGTAGACAATATATGCTTGAGTATTGTATGAGGACATGACATGTGGGTAAGGATGATGAGTATGTTGTGGTTCTACTGTGACATATCAGAGGATCAGATTCCCAACAGGAAAACGATGAGTCCCACTTTACTTTAAAGAGATTCAACGTAATATATTGTACGAATTGGAATTCGTAACATATCATACGAATTGCAGGAGGTAACATATCATGCCAAATGGATGACATTGTACACAATTGTGCACACTTTTCAGGGACCCGTTTTGGCTCATGAGCGCTACTTTCAAAACTACTGGCTGAAACTATACAAAACCTTTATAACGCATCTTTAAGTGACACTAAAAGCTGATCTATTTGCAAAGTTTTTACATTGGTAGGTACAGTATAATTACAGTGTGTGCACACATTAGTACTTAGTATGGCCTGTTTGGGCCAACTGTCAATTTAAGTTTATTTGCTAATCTAATTGATAGCCTACAAAGTCCAAACAGGAATAGTTGTAAGTACTATGTAACAACGTGTATCTATACTGTAATAACACTGTACTTGCCAATGTCACCACCATGTAAATACTGATATGTTTTTCAGCACAATGCAACAAATCAAGTCACTGTAGTCAGCCTGTAAACTCAAAAGCATTAGCATACTTTCTACAGTAGATGGAGCCATTGTATACCATATCGTTGCACAGCATGATGCATTGTCTTTTATACCCTCTGAACTCTTGCTGGCCATTGTTGTGGGTGAATCACTGGTGTTACAGTACTGTAATTCAAGATTGGAACATGATTTAGATTGATGACTGCTCCCAATGCCACAGCATCAGGATTATTATAATGTAGTAAATGAATGGACTCAATGTTTACACTATTATTTTTCTCTGCTCCATTTTGATAGCAATATCCCTATTGTACTTCATACCATGCATTATGAATATAAGTATTCACTGTGTAACACTTATCTCTGTTTTATTTACATAGATATGAGAATAAGGGGGCACATCAGTTGATAGACTACTTGACCAGTGGTTACAAATAACCTACAGACAGTTCTTCATACACGTGCAGTGCAGGTCTGCGTAGATTACAAGATCCTTATACAGTATATATTACATTTACATTGTAGTCATTTAGCAGATGCTCTTATCCAGTGTGACTTATGGGAGCAATTAGGGTTAAGTGCCTTGCTCAAGGGCACACCAACAGATTTTTCACCTAGTCGACTCGGGGATTCGAACCAGCAACCTTTTGGTTACTGGCCCAATGCTCTATACGCTAGGTTACCAGCCGCCCATCTTATTATATCATATTGATGTGATTTCTGAGACATTAAACACATCACCAGGCTTGGCAAAGATCTAAAATTCTGAGCAGGCCTGCACAGAGTTTTTGTCTGTGAATCTGGAACACGCCCTCTGTGTGTGTGTGTTTGTGTGCACATGTGTGTGTGTGCAGGTGCGTTGGTGCATGGACGCATGGTCTATGGGGCAGCTGGCGTATCTTCCTGCTCCTAGCCCAATCACTCAGGCAGACAGGATCTGCTTGGCTGAAGCTCTGCAGCGCCACTGTGCACCCAGTCATAATCCTAACTCTTGGCTCACCTACACTTACTGGGGGGACACGAGCCCTTGGGGCCTTTGCGCCTGTCATTGATGTCTATTTATTTATTTGATCATTTTGACAGTAACCCTCCAACAATTCATTCATAAACCTTTTTAATTTCCATATCTACTAGGAAGCTAAGTGTTTGTTTCTTGGGCTTCAAGAATGTGACTGATCAAAGTGCCCCAGGTCTTAAAAAATTAATAATTGAACTGATTGAAAGTAAGGGGATATCGGTGAACAAATCCTGTGGACAAGGCCATGACTGCGCCAGTGCAATGAGTTGAATTTACTCAGGTGTTCAAAAGCCAATATCAGACCGAGAGCCTAATGCTTCGTTCTTAGGTAGTTCTTTATGAGTTTTAGTTTAGAAACGATCTCTGCGCAGAAGCGACTTACAGGGATGGTAAAAACAGCTTGATTACCGTAGCAACACCAGGGAAACTGGGCAGAAGGGAGTGGTGATTCAAATACAGCAGTTCTGCAACATCTTTAATTAAGCCTCTCATTCTACTAAAGCCCCTAAATAAGATCTGGTGCAACCAATTACCTTCAGAAGTCACATAATTAGTTAAATAAAGTCCACCTGTGTGCAATCTGATCTGTCACATGATCTCAGTATATACAGTGGGGGAAAAAGTATTTAGTCAGCCACCAATTGTGCAAGTTCTCCCACTTAAAAAGATGAGAGAGGCCTGTAATTATCATCATAGGTACACGTCAACTATGACAGACAAATTGAGAATTTTTTTTCCAGAAAATCACATTGTAGGATTTTTAATGAATTTATTTGCAGATTATGGTGGAAAATAAGTATTTGGTCACCTACAAACAAGCAAGATTTCTGGCTCTCACAGACCTGTAATATCTTCTTTAAGAGGCTCCTCTGTCCTCCACTCGTTACCTGTATTAATGGCACCTGTTTGAACTTGTTATCAGTATAAAATACACCTGTCCACAACCTCAAACAGTCACACTCCAAACTCCACTATGGCCAAGACCAAAGAGCTGTCAAAGGACACCAGAAACAACATTGTAGACCTGCACCAGGCTGGGAAGACTGAATCTGCAATAGGTAAGCAGCTTGGTTTGAAGAAATCAACTGTGGGAGCAATTATTAGGAAATGGAAGATATACAAGACCACTGATAATCTCCCTCGATCTGGGGCTCCACGCAAGATCTCACCCCGTGGGGTCAAAATGATCACAAGAACGGTGAGCAAAAATCCCAGAACCACACGGGGGGACCTAGTGAATGACCTGCAGAGAGCTGGGACCAAAGTAACCAAGCCTACCATCAGTAACACACTACGCCGCCAGGGACTCAAATCCTGCAGTGCCAGACGTGTCCCCCTGCTGAAGCCAGTACATGTCCAGGCCCGTCTGAAGTTTGCTAGAGTGCATTTGGATGATCCAGAAGAGGATTGGGAGAATGTCATATGGTCAGATGAAACCAAAATAGAACTTTTTGGTAAAAACTCAACTCGTCGTGTTTGGAGGACAAAGAATGCTGAGTTGCATCCAAAGAACACCATACCTACTGTGAAGCATGGGGGTGGAAACATCATGCTTTGGGGCTGTTTTTCTGCAAAGGGACCAGGACGACTGATCCGTGTAAAGGAAAGAATGAATGGGGCCATGTATCGTGAGATTTTGAGTGAAAACCTCCTTCCATCAGCAAGGGCATTGAAGATTAAACGTGGCTGGGTCTTTCAGCATGACAATGATCCCAAACACACCGCCCGGGCAACGAAGGAGTGGCTTCGTAAGAAGCATTTCAAGGTCCTGGAGTGGCCTAGCCAGTCTCCAGATCTCAACCCCATAGAAAATCTTTGGAGGGAGTTGAAAGTCCGTGTTGCCCAGCAACAGCCCCAAAACATCACTGCTCTAGAGGAGATCTGCATGGAGGAATGGGCCAAAATACCAGCAACAGTGTGTGAAAACCCTGTGAAGACTTACAGAAAACGTTTGACCTGTGTCATTGCCAACAAAGGGTATATAACAAAGTATTGAGAAACTTTTGTTATTGACCAAATACTTATTTTCCACCATAATTTGCAAATAAATTCATTAAAAATCCTACAATGTGATTTTCTGGATTTATTTTCCTCATTTTGTCTGTCATAGTTGACGTGTACCTATGATGCAAATTACAGGCCTCTCTCATCTTTTTAAGTGGGAGAACTTGCACAATTGGTGGCTGACTAAATACTTTTTTCCCCCACTGTAAGTGTATGTAAACTTCCGACTTCAACTGTATATACACATACTAATCAGGGGAAATGGGAACCAGGTGTGCGTAATGAGACAAGACAGTCCGGGGTTGGTGACGCCTAGAATACCGGTGACGTAGACCTCCGGAGCTGGTGAACGGATGAGCAGCAGTACCGGGGGGATCTGTGACATTCAATCCTTGTCATATGAAGAGAAATTATAAATAAAACGTATCAGTGCTCATCGGCCATTGGACATAAACGTTACACAACAAGTTGGAAATCGCAAATTCAACAACGAGTGGTTTGGAAGGAATCAGTGGCTAACTGCAAGCGTTGCAAAGCAATCACTAGCCTGCTATTCAGTGGAGTGGGTGTGTGGTCCAAGTCTGGGTTTAAGGGTCTCTTATACAAGCTTAAAAGGATAAACATTCACATGCCATGGGCCAGAAAAGGTTGAGTACATTGGCCATTCTGTCAATTCAGCATGACTTCTGCCGCGTTCAAAACAACTGGGAAATCTCAGACTTCAGTGAGTTCAAGACAACTGGGAACTCGGGGAAAAAACGTGCTCCGACTGGGAAGATACGTTTTGAACGGTCATCCAAATCGGAATTCCAAGTCAGGAACTCGGGTTACTTTCTAGAGCTCCGACCTGAAGATCACTGACGTCATGATTCGACCTTGTTTTTTTCAGAGTTCCCAGTTGTCTTGAAAGCACCATAAATCCAGAGAATGCCAGACTTTGATGACTAAGTTTGATGCCGCGCCAGCTTCCTGTTCAAGTGAGTACAGCACAACAAGGTGAGTCCAAAAATGTATTGTATGCTGCTGCATAAATTATGTAATATGCCAGGGAGATATGTATACTGTAGCTAAGAAAGTA